GGGTGACGAGGTTCTGCGGAGGCATGCGACGTTCGCCCGGGTGGTTTTGGCGAGGACGACCTCGGTGATGGTATCCCGAGGTCGACGTGGTGCATCAGAGGCTGTCAGCACGAAGCTGATGTGGTGTGTGCGCTGTGCAGGTGACGAGGCACTGCACGCCAATCATCTGCGAAGTAGGTGCGCTGCTGTCCTGCGGGAGCAACGTCGGCGCGCCGTCAACCTGCGACGTTGGCACGCCGTCGACCTGCAGTGTTGGCAAGCCGCGACTCTGCACTGCTGGGGCGCGGTCGACCAGGTCGTGCTGGCACGCGGTCGACCGTGCTGCGCTGGCAGTCGTCCTGCTTGCATGCTAGCTCTGATGTAGTCTTGCCTTGCCAACTTCATTGTATCATTGTTGTCAACTTTCTCTAGTAAAACTCTTGCCAAATTACCTTGTGAACTAGCAAGCAGTGTGTACACTAGGAAAACGACTAAGGACCAACGAACGCAGAGATCACATGAGCACCCGTGCCTAGCCCGTAGTCTAGCTCCCGTTGTAGTAGTTATCTCCGCAAGAAGTGCCTGAGAGACCTTGCACTGATCATAGGTAGGTAGGAGGAGGTACACAAGGTACCAAGGGCCGAAGTTGGACAGCCGATTCGTTTTTGCATGTTTGCCAAAAAAAAAAAAAAAAAAAAAAACCTAAAGCCTTTTATGCTTCGTCGTGCTTCACTGGACCCAGTCATGTCGACTTAATTTTCCATCTCAACCTAAAATTGCCTCGTAGAATGTCCGGCTCCTACCACAATCCTAAGTCAACATGCCATGCATCTATTGTCATCCTTTCGAATTGTCTCTTGTACCTTCTACCTTTATTCTTTTCATTTTTTCTGTCCCATCGTCTATACCTCTAGCATGTATTCACCGTCAGAAAGATTGCTAGCATTTCTTTGACTGGGCCTTCTGCATCTATTCTCTGTCATCTTTGTTGCAGCGATGTCAGTGATAACAGCCTCACTGGCCAACTCCCTCCAACAGTGGGCAAACGCACTCGAATTTCATACCTGTAATCTAGTACAAGGTACAAGGTTTTTCATAAGTGTACCATAGCCGAAGTTCTTTTGCAGCCACAAGTGGTATACTTACAACGTACCAAGGGCCAAGCTTGGATTGGCCCAGCACAATCCTCTCGTCCAACAGCTGTAGAATTGGGCTGGTCCAAGCCAGCCCGTGCTCTTTCGCCGGAAAAATATAAACTATCAATGTGTGGTTCACTGGTATTTTGAGACTGTAAGACATCGGGGCATACTGGACTATTGCAATGTGTTACCATACCTCTAAAAATATCAACCTCAAAGCGTTTTAGTTCAATTTCAGGGTGGGCGTCACCCTTCACGGACCAGTTTCCATGGGAGAACTGGGCCGATTTCATGGGAGAAGTGGGCCGATTTCATGGGAGAACTGGGCCGATTTCATGGGAGAACTGGGCCGATTTCATGGGCTAACTGGGCCAATCTCATGGGAGAACTGGGCCAATGTCATGGGAGAACTGGGCCAATCTCATGGGCTAACTGGGCCAATTATTTTTGTTTTCCTAGAAGAACTGAGCCGATTTTTTTGTTTCCATGGATGAAATGGGCCGACCTTTGAGACCACTAAAAGAACTGTTTCCATGGGAGAATTGAGCCTATATTTTAGTCGACTCAAATAACCTTTCCATGGGAGAACTGGGCCGATTTTGCAGTCAACTCAAACATCGTTTTCAGGGGAGAACTGGGCCGAATTTTTTGTCAACTCAAATACCGTTTTCAGGGGAGAACTGGGCCGATTTTTTTGGTGACTCAAATACCGTTTTCATTGGGAACTGGACCGTTCCTAGGTTATGGCTATCGAGAGGGATTGCATTGCAAGCATGGGCACCTTACCAAGTGTTTTCCTCTTTTGGTTTATGTATTGATGCACTGTTGCTTTGAGCCCTCATCCTCTCTCTTTTCCAGTTTGCTTTCAGCCGCGCGAGAGGACCCGATAAGAAACCTACAATGCATGCGCATATGACATATAGACAGGCATGGCAGCCACCTAGCAGACCATGGCTGGCCATGCACAACTGCCCAAACCCACGGAGCGAACTTGCACTAACCATAGGTAGGAGGTGTACAAAGTACCAAGGGCACAACTTGGACTAGCCCAGCTCAATTTTCTTCGGCCCGACAGCTTCCTTGTGTCGGATCCGGGGTGTTTTTTACGTAACAAAAAAAAATAAAAATAAAAATCGAAGTTTTATATGCTTCCTCATGCTCGACTGGACTAAGTTAATCAACATTTTCCACCACAAGTTAATCATCCATGTTCACCTAGAATTGCCTCGTAGGATGTGCGGCTCCTCGCACAGTCCCAAAGTCGGCAAATAATTCATTTTTTATCTCCTGCACCTTTTCTCTCCTACCTTCTACCATCTTTTGGTACATTTCTGTTTATGTTGGAAAATCTCATATCTGGTATGAAATGCGGACAACTATACGCGACCACACATACATTACGCTGATTTTAGTGTACAAAATATTCCGAAATATGGGAAAAATGTCCTTCGGGTGAGTTGAGGATGCAGCAGACGGTTTAGGTAACTCCAAACCAGAACCTCGCCCCTCTGGCCACTAGCGGACAACTGCTTGTGAGGTTGCGCAACATTGGGTAGGGGATAGATGGTCGCATTTGGCACTTGTAATCAAAATCATGCAATTTGTACTGAGACTATGGTTTTTTTTTTAAGGTGCTTCCCGACCAAGCGTGTGAGGAATCTCATTAGCAATGCATTGACTGGGGTTGTTTGCGCATTGACTTAGCGCATTTCTTAAAAAACTCTTCATTAGCTTGGTTGGGCAGCTATGGTATGAGGAATCTTGTTAGAAATGCGTTGATTGGGTCTATCCTGCCTATTACATTTCATTTCAATGCACCGATGTGAGTCAAAACAACCTCAATGGCCAGATCTCTCCAGAATTAGGCCGTCTCACTCTTCTTTCACACCTGTAAGGCATCTTGGCCTATTTGAAAACTCTTAGTATGTCCTAAAAGCCTCTTCTCCTAGGCTATACAATGCTACTGAGGTGTTAGCTTGGCAGGCTCACTGTTTTGCCTGCTAGCAAGACCCCCAATATCCTCACTCACTCGTGCTTGCTTGAGTTGGTTTTACCCACTGAAGAGCATCCTTGATGGCACAACGACTAGAGATCCAATGTCATGTGAAACAAGAAATGCAAGCGAGCAAATACAGCATTGCTTGCTAAGTACTACCCAAATTGCCTGCTGCTAAGTACTACCCAAATTCCCTACTGCTAAGTACTATCCAAATTTCCTGTTGTTGCCCCGAAGCTCTGCCCTGTTTGGGGCAGATTGCGTCTGAATTGTTCTCTCCTCAATTCCCTGCTTCAGTTCTTCTCTGTGCGAGTATCAGATCTGTTTTTTTGTTTTCCTATACCAACTAAGTCATTTCCGTATTCAGACTCCCGAGTGCCAGACCTGTTTTTCTCCTCTTGTCTCGCAGGCACCACAAGCCAATCTTGCTTCCTCTCAACCGTTTGTGAATGCGTGATATCATCTCTGTACACATAAACCTCGGGCATGGAAACGCCATGAGGAATCTTGTTAACGGTGAATTGACTGGGTCTATTCCCACTATTAACTTCCATTTTCAATGCAGCGATGTAAGTCAAAACAACCTCAGTGGCCAAATTCATCCAGCAATAGGCCATCTTACTCGTCTTTCACACATGTAAGGCGTCTTATCATGTTAATAAATGTATACAATAAAGCGTTTCATGAAATTGAGGCATACTACTAGGTACAAAGACGTTCCACCTGGTGTGGCATAACCAAAGTTCTAGTTCAACCATAGATAGGAGCTATAAAAGGTACCAACGGCCAAGATTACTCTGGCCCGGTTCAAGTTGTTGACCCGCTAACTATCTTGGTGGGGTGACCTGATCTGAGCAAATCCGTGTTGGGTCAGGTTGAGTCGACCCGACCGGGCTATTCGATTGACCGTATAAATTTTACTCATGTCAGCATAAGATTGCCGCATAGGATTCTGCCACAATCCTACGTTGACATACAACGGCTTCTGATCTCCGTCCCCCAATTTTTCCAACATTTTACCATTTTTGGGTTCATTCCTTTGTGTCTGTACACATGAAACCTCCGGCATGTACGCACCATCATGTGTTTGCGATGCTCTGCACGGGTTTCTATCTAATCTCTGCCATTTTCATTGCAGTGATGTCAGTTGGAACAACCTCACTGGTGAACTCCCCCCAACAATAGGCAATCTTAGTCTGCTTCCATCCTTGTAAGGCTTCTTAGAGTAATTAAGTGTTGCCAATTCATCATAGTCAGATTGACGTATTCAGGTATCCAGGGCAGGCACTAAGGTGACCCACGAGTGCCCCATAGCCCAAGTTCCATTGCAGCCACAGGTGCCATGGGCCGCACATGGTCTGACTCGGCCCAATCCTCTTTGGCCCAAAAGTTATTGAACTACACTAATCCAAGTCAAGTCAATTTCTATAGCAAAGAACAGAAATAAGACAAATTGGGATAGTGGAATATGGCAATGTGTTGCCATACGTCTCAAATAGCAACCTCAGAGCGTTTAACTTCGAGCTAAAACAGGCCTTTGATCCATAGCTTGATAACGCTCCCTGTGGACGTGCAGGTACATCTCTTCGACTGCAATCACGTGCCCTCCTGACTACAGCAGCTGCATGGTCCCACAGAATGCTTCAAGTGCTTTCTGCAGGCACTGTGACTCATTCTGCATCACGTGTGACAAGCCACGACCAGGTGAGACGCAACGTGTGACAGGCCACAACGAGGTGATGCAATCTCCCAATGCTGGTGGCTGCAATTTATACTACCTTTGATTTCTTTGCTCTCATAGCGCTGAGTGCGTAGGCACTGCATTGCATGAAACCTAACAAGAGTTTCCAACGTCAAGCATTCACAGCGCAGCTACTCCTCACATCATGCAATGCTCACAACTACCCATCCATCTTAGTGAAGAGAATTTGCTCATGCTTAAAGAAGAGAATTTGTTTCAGCCTTTGCTTCCTCTTCCCAAGAAAACTGTTCCTTGTCCCACATCCTATTTTGCCAACCCCATATCTAACCTCCTTCTCCCTTCGGCATCTCCTTCTTCCTACTCAGATTTCATACCCTCCCCATCGCCAGTGCCAACACCCTCAGCCTCTCCATCCCAGTCTGGAAGCGGTCTATCCAACGGAACCATTGCTGGCATTGCTGTTGTTGCGGGTATGGCTGTCCTCACGCTGCTGCTGCTGAGCTGGTTGCTGTGGAAGCGATGCCGCACCAAAGGGGCAGCAGGAGGAGGTGATACTGACACCGATGTGGTTGGAAAGGATTTGGCAGAAGAAAGTGCATTCCAAGGTAAGATATCTCCAATCCACATTGCCTGGAACCTCCACCATCCCAGACCTTCCTTTCCGGTTTCTCATCCACTTTACTTTTCTCATCTTCAACTTACTTCCACCTTCATAACTTCTCTCAGACTCTGAACCTGATTATTCAAATGCAGCATCCAGAGCAATGGAGGGGGACCCGGAAGCAAGCGCTGCAGCTGCTGCTGCAGCTGCGATTGTGGCAGCGGGCGCAGCAGCACGGGACAAGCAGAGAAACCTGGTGGAGGAGATGGAGGCAGTGACGCCACATGTGTGCCAGAAGTTCACTATGGAAGAGCTTGCAAGAGCAACGGAAGAGTGGGCAGAAGGGAACAGGATTGGCAGTGGCAGCTTTGGGGATGTGTACAAGGGTGTGTCGCTGCACGATCCGAATGCGATGTGGGCTGTGAAGCGCTCTAGAGTTCTCTCCAATGACTTCCTCACTGAGGTGACACACTCCCATTGCGCAGATTTTAGCTTTACATAGGAGTCAAATAGTTACATCCATTTTAACACACACACACACACACACACACATACAAACATTCACACACACACACATACATACACTCATTTCATTTTTGGCCAATCATAATACATTTTTTTTATCTCACAGGTGAAGGAGATGGCCAGCAAGCACCACCCCAACCTGGTGCGTCTGCTGGGCTTCTGTGCGAACTACGATTCAAGCACGGGCAGGATTGAGCAAGTGCTCGTGTATGAGTTCATGGCGAACCGAGACTTGGAGACCTGGATTGGACCAGGTAAGCTGTCTTGCCCCTAAACTTGACAGATTTTACTTTTCAACATTCAATAGCCCTTAGCGTAGAACAGGTGCTTGTGTATGGGTTCATGGCGAACCGGGACTTGGGGAGCTGGATTTGACTAGGTAATCTAACTTCACTTTGATTCTGATGGATTTTGTATTGCTCACTTCAATAACCATTTTAAGTGGAACACATATTTGTATCTAGAGTGAGTTTGGATAGAAAAGATATTTGAATGGCTAGACTCGCCGCCTTGTGACCTGCAGCTTCCACTATGCCTTTACTTTATTGTCCGCGTGTCTTGTGCCATGCATTTCTATTGCAAATATTTCTTCAAATACCTTTTCTTAGGAGCTCCAAGCCACCTCTCTCTGTTGCAACGGCTGGATGTTTTGATTGGAGTGGCAAAGGGGCTGCAATATCTTCATGACTTTGGCATTGTGCATCGCGACATCAAGCCAGCCAATATTCTCCTTGGTGCGAAAATGCAGGTCTGTCATAACCACTTCAGTTATTCTTCCGTTTGAAATATATGAGTTATTTCTGTTCTCATATCATGCTCTGATTTTTCAAAAACAGTATTCACTGTCTACCTGACTTTGCCTACATTCTTAACATGCACTTGTGATTGTTTTCAAGGCCAAGATTGCAGACTTTGGACTGGTGAAACTCACTGAGGTCACTGCAACGGGCACGTCTGTGGCTGCTACTCGAGTGATGGGAACACCGGGCTATGTGGACCCTGCCTACTACAAGTCCCACAAGGCTACTCCAGCAGTAGATGTGTATAGGTGAGCACAAATATGTGCCTTGCTTTGAGGGGATAAACACGTTTTTTATGCAGGTCGGCATAGCACGCTTCATTCAAATGCCGCTCATCACCCTCCATTCCATCCCCTTGTTTCTGTCGTTGGTCTGGTGGTGGCAGCTTTGGTGTGGTGATGCTGGTGATCATCTCAGCACGCAAGGCTGTGCATGTGAGCGAGACCAGCCAGATCAGCCTGAGGCAATGGGTGAGCCACAGTTGCTTGGCACAATCTTATTCCCTAGATTCTTTATGCAAAAACCGCATGACTACTGCTCAATGCTTGATCCATTAGCATGGTAGTGCATTGGTCATTCAAGCATATATCCGCATGGGTGTGTTCAATATGAACCCAACAGATTGCCCCGTTCGTGGAGTCAGATGCCGTAACAATGTTCAAGGACCCATTCTTAGACGCACCAGATGACTTGGTACTGCGCTGGGCCCGCCTTGCCCTCTCCTGCACAGCCATGTCAAACATTGCATGTTTATATTATGTAGGCTGTAGTGGGTTACACCTTAGGGGGTACTCAAAGTTAGGGTTTCCTACTTGTACCAAACTCTGTGCTAGTTCATCCCATTCCTGCTCAGTTATTCTGACATGGTATCAGAGCAGGTCCATCGCTAGGACCGCTCTTAGGGCCCACCGCTACCTACCTACCTACCTACCGTGCGCCTCTTGCGCCTACGCGCTCTCGTGCGCCCTACCCTACGTGCGCCCTCGTGCGCCCTACCCTACGTGCGCCCTCGTGCGCCTTTCTCTCCTTGTGCGCCTTCGTGCGCCCTCGTGCGCCCTCGTGCGCCCTCGAGCTGCCCCTGCAGGTCCGTCAGGCCACCGAGCCGTCGCTGCAGGCCTGTCAGGCACCTGAGCCGCCGCTACAGGCACGTCAGGCACCCGAGTCGCCGCTGCAGGCCCGTCAGGCCCCCGAGCCGCCGCTACAGGCCCGTCAGGCCCGAGAGCCGCCCCTGCAGACCCGTCAGGCCACGCGCGCCGCCCCTGCAGGCCCTAGCCGGCCGCCGCGTCGCTCTGCCCGCAGCGTCGCCGCCTCTCCGCGGCGTCGTCGCCTGCCCGCGTCGAAGCCGCCTGCCCGCGACGTCGATCCCTGCCCGCGGCGCCGTCGCCTGCCCGCGGAGACGTCGCCTGCCCGCGGCGTCGTCGCGGCGTCGCCACCTGCCCGCGGAGTCGTCGCCTGCCCGCGCCACATGCACGCGGCGTCGCCACCTCCTCGCCGCGTCGACCTGCCCGCGGCGTCGCCACCTGCCCGCCGCGTCGACCTGCCCGCGCCGTCGCCACCAAACCCTAATCCGTCGCCCTGCCCGCGGCGTCGCCACCTGCCCGCCGCGTCGCCCTGCCCGCGCCGTCGCCACCTAACCCTAATCCGCCTCTCGCCCCTGGAGCAGCCGCCACTGCAGTAGCAGCCCCTGGAGCCGCCGCCACTGCAGCAGCAGCCCCTGCAGCCGCCCGCCACTGCGTCAGCAACCACTGGAGCCGCCCACCACTGCAGCAGCCGCCCCTGGAGCCGCCCGCACCTGCAGCAGCCGCCCCTGGAGCAACTGCCGCCGTAGCCCGGTCTAGCTCTGCAGCAGCTGCCGCGGAGCTTCCTACTGCGCCTGCCACGCCGACCACTGGTGAGCATTGCCCTGCCAGCACTGCTACCGCTGCTACTGCTACTACTGCCGTTTCTACTCCCACTCCCGCTACTCCTGCTGCTCCTGACGTGGCCAGATGCAGCCACAGGACCGTGCGCGTGAGTCCCTCACGCTCCAGCAGGCTCGTGAGTGGTACGCCAGTTGGGGCTATCGAGGTGGCCGTAGTGGTAGTCGCTCTGACGTGCGTCGTTCGGGAGCCCCTGGTAGTGGACAGGTGCAGCAGCCGTGCCCTCCTACGGTCCAGCAGGCTCGTGAGTGGTACGCCGGTTTGAGCAGTCGGGGTGGCCGTAGTGGTAGTCGCTCTGGCGTCCGTCGTTCGGGAGGCTCAGGTAGTGGACAGGTGCAGCAGCCGTGCCCTCTTCTGGTCCAGCAGGCTCGTGAGTGGTACGCCGGTTTGAGCAGTCGGGGTGGCCGTAGTGGTAGTCGCTCTGGCGTCCGTCGTTCGGGAGGCTCAGGTAGTGGACAGGTGCAGCAGCCGTGCCCTCTTCTGGTCCAGCAGGCTCGTGAGTGGTACGCCGGTTTGAGCAGTCGGGGTGGCCGTAGTGGTAGTCGCTCTGGCGTCCGTCGTTCGGGAGGCTCAGGTAGTGGACAGGTGCAGCAGCCGTGCCCTCTTCTGGTCCAGCAGGCTCGTGAGTGGTACGCCGGTTTGAGCAGTCGGGGTGGCCGTAGTGGTAGTCGCTCTGGCGTCCGTCGTTCGGGAGGCTCCGGTAGTGGACAGGTGCAGCAGCCGTGCCCTCTTCTGCTCCAGCAGGCTCGTGAGTGGTACGCCGGTTTGAGCAGTCGGGGTGGCCGTAGTGGTAGTCGCTCTGTGAGTGAGGCAGCCGCTCTCGGTGCCAGTACGTCTGTTGCCCTCGGAGCAGGTGAGGCTACCACTCCCGGTACTCGCGTGTCTGCTACTCCAGATACTGGTGAGCCTACTGCTCTAGGTGCTAGTGCGTCTGCCGCTCCAGGTGCTCGCGTGTCTGCTACCCCAGGTGATGGTGAGGCTGCTGCCCTAGGTGCTAGTGCGTCTGTGCCCCCTGGTACTGAGTCGACTGCAGCACTGCACACCTTCACACTGGACTCAGGTGCTTCTCGCTCTTTCTTTCGTGACCGCACTGTCCTTGAGCCACTCGCTCGGCCAGTTGCTGTCTCTCTTGCTGACCCCTCAGGGGGTCCGGTCATTGCGACCTCCTCCACTACACTTCCGTGTCCAGCGGTTCCGTCCGGCACGCTCTCAGGTCTCTACCTCCCCTCGTTCTCTACGAACTTGGTGGCGGGCTGTGCTCTGCAGGACGGGGGTGTTCACCAGTTCACCCCTGCCTACGAGCGTGTGACACATTGCACGTGTGCTCGGACGGGCCGCCACCTGGCTACTTTCACTCGGGAGCCGGGGTCGGACCTGTACACACTGACCACTGAGTCCCCTCAGGTGGCTGCGTCTGCGTCTGCGTCAGGTCAGCTGTCCGCCCCCTGCTCATGTCGCTCTCTGGCGCATGAGACTGTCCTCTGGCACCACCGCCTTGGTCACCCGTCTGTGCAGCGCCTTCGGGCCATGCACAAACGGGACCTTGTTGCTGGTCTTCCCAGGGTGCTCCCTCCCCTTCCCGACTCCCCTGCTCCTGACTGCATTCCCTGTGTCGAGGGGCGGCAACGCGCCGCTCCTCACTCCTCCTCCTTTCCCCCGACGACTGCTCCCTTGCAGACGCTCCACATGGACGTGTGGGGCCCAGCCCGCGTCCGTGGTCAGGGTCAGGAGAGGTACTTCCTGATAGTTGTTGACGACTACTCGCGCTACACCACGGTCTTCCCCTTGCGCGCCAAGGGTGACGTCCCTGGTGTTTTGATCCCCTGGATCAGCCGAGCCCGTCTCCAGCTAGCCAAGCGCTTTCACTCGGACTTTCCTGTCCTGCGCTTGCACTCTGACAGGGGTGGTGAGTTCGCCTCCGACCTCTTGGCAGCCTACTGTGCTGAGCACGGCATTGAGCAGTCGTTCACGCTTCCGGCCTCTCCACAGCAGAATGGGGTCGCTGAGCGCCGCATTGGCTTGGTCATGGAGGTCGCTCGTACCTCCCTGACCCATGCGGCTGCTCCCCACTTTCTGTGGCCGTTTGCGGTCCGGTACGCAGCGCATCAGCTCAACCTCTGGCCCCGTGTCTCCTTGCCGGAGACTTCCCCGACTCTACGGTGGACGGGAGAGGTTGGCGATGCGTCGCGTTTCCGGGTCTGGGGATCTCGAGCTTTTGTCCGCGACACGTCCGCGGACAAGCTCTCGCGTCGCACTGTTCCCTGTGTCTTTCTTGGCTTTGTTCCCGACGCGCCTGGTTGGCAGTTTTACCACGTCACCTCGCGCCGGGTTCTGGCCTCTCAGGACGTCACTTTTGACGAGTCCGTCCCCTTCTACCGCCTCTTCCCCTACCGCACTGCCCCGCTCCCCCCCCCGCCTCTCTTCCTCGCTCCAGGTGCTGAGGTACCAGACCCCCTCCCCCCTCAGGGTGCCGCTCCCTCAGGTGTGTCCCAGGTAGACCCGGGTGAGCCTGTCGAGGTAGCTGTTGACTCGCGTCCTGCGTCTGGGGGTGCTGAGCCTGGGAGTACTGCGTCTGAGGGTGCGGAGCCTGGGGGTGCTGAGTCTGGAGGTGCGGAGCCTGGGGGTGCTGAGCCTGGAGGTGCGGAGCCTGGAGGTGCGGAGCCTGGGGGTGCTGAGTCTGGGGGTGCTGAGTCTGGGGGTGCTGAGCCTGAGCGTGCTCCACCTGGAGGAGCCCTCTCCTCCCAGCAGCTGCAGGAGAGGTACCTCGAGTACTGCCGCCTCCCGAGAGGTGCTTCTGGAGCTCGTCCCGGTACTTCCCCTCCTACCCAGGAGCTCCCCCCCATTCAGGTGATCCGCGAGTGGTACACGCGGCGCTGCAGTCTTCGTAGTGGTGCTCCTGTTTCTGCGGACCCGAGCAGTGGTGCTGTTGCTGGTGCTGAGGACCCGGACGCTGGAGCTGCTGCTGGTGCTGAGGACCTGGGGGCTGGAGCTGCTGCTGGTGCTGAGGACCCGACCGGTGGCGCTGCTGCTGGTGCTGAGGACTCGGGCGTTGGAGCTCCTACTGGTGCTGAGGACCCGGGCGTTGGAGCTGCTGCTGGTGCTGAGGACTCGGGCGTTGGGGCTGCCACTGGTGTCCCTGCTGCTTCTGGAGACGCTGCGCGGCCGCGACCGTACTTCGTACCGCTCCTTCAGCAGGTTCTTGGTCAGGCTCCTCCTCCTAGTCCTCCTCCCTCCGTCGAGTGTCCTCTGCCTGTCCAGCCGCAGTCACAGTTACCGCCTGCCTCGCCTCTCCCTGCTCCCTCCCCTTACACTGGTCCCACAGGAGGTCTTACAGAGCGTCGTGAGCCTGAGTCTCGTCCTGCGTCGCCTGTTCGTACTGCTCGCACTGGTCGTCGTGTCCCACGTGAGCGTCCTCCTCCTGTCCCTGGCACTCACTACATGACTCTGCGTCCCTCCACTGCTCCGCAGCGTGTCCCGCTGCCGTCTCCTCCTGCGTCCTCTCTTCCTACTCTTCCTGACCCGGAGTCTGACTCCCGTCGTGCTGCCAGTCCCACTGTTACGCGTCTCCTCGCTACAGTTGTCACTGACCCGACCTTTGAGTCCTCTGCTGCGTCTGCTCTGGTCGCTGAGTTGGTTGACTTTGCTGCTCGCTGTCGCCTAGACTACGCTGCCAGCCTTGTCGCTAGGTCTGAGTCTGCGTCTGCCTGTCCTCCGTCCGTCGGGGGTGAGTGTG